AACTGCCGGGCACCTGAAATCAGAATTTGAGATGAAAGATCTAGGAATTACTCAATATTGTCTAGGTCTCGCGATAAAGCATCGTTCGGATGAAATCTTAATACATCAATCAAGCTACACCCAGAAGGTGTTGCGCCATTTTAACGAGGATAAAACGAAGCCTTCGTGTACTCTTATGGTCGTTCGATCGCTAGATGCAAAACGAGATCCTTTTTGTCTGAAATAGGGTGATAAAGAGATTTGGAGTCTAAAATTCCTTATGTAAGTGCGATAGGCGCTTTATTGTACTTAGTTCAATGCACTAGACCCGACATCTCCTTCGCTGTTAATCTTTTGGTAAGATACAATAATGCACCAAGATGCAGACATTGGACTGGTGTTAAAGACATTTTTCATCACCTTGAAGGTACTACGGATTTGGGCTTGTTTTGTCCCTACGGATCCTCAAGTGATGCCGCACCCCCTCATCTCGAGTCGATTCTCGCCTTGTTGGTTATGCCAACATAGGATACTTATCTGATCCTCATAAGGCGTGTTCTCAAACAGGTTATGTCTTTACTGTTTGAGGCACCACAATCTCTTGGAGGTCAACTAAACAAACCATAGCTGCCACTTCGTCTATCCATGCTGAAATTCTCGCCTTACACGAAGCAACTCGGGAATATTTTTGGCTGAGAGCAGTTGTAAGCCATATTCGAATCTCCTGTGATCTTTGCCCCGTTATTGACATCCCAACGACGTTAGATGAAGATAACGCAGCATGCATCGAAATACTCAAGAAAGGTTACATCAAATGAGACAACACCAAGCACATTGCGCCATAGTTCTTCTTCTCACATCAACAACAAGAGCATCAGAAGATTAAAGCCATGCAAATCCGTTCACAAGACAATTTGGTCAACCTCTTCACCAAATCACTACCGAAGGCAAAGTTTCATAAGCTTATTCAAGAATTGGAATACGTAAACTCTCTGAGTTGTAACATTGCTAGTTCTCTTTGAAATTGTGTCAAACTCGAGGGGAGTATCCTAAAGTATACTTGATTGATCTTAATGTACTCTTTTTCCCTACCATTAGGAGCATTTTTCATACTGGGTTTTTGCTACCTAATGAGGTTTTGACGAGGCACCCACCTTGGGTTGATCATATCCCTGATGATGTCCCATAGATGTTTCATTTGACTTTGCATTTCTCACAGATTTTTCCTTAGACTATGGATTTTGTCCTTACTTGGATTTTTACCATAGCCATAGGTTTTTTTTTTTTTTTTTTTTTTGAGACTTACTTCCTTACGCAAGTTCCTACCTTATTTTAGAATAGCGTGTTCCCAGAATCAGTGCCGACGAGTCGACTTCCTTAACCTCTACATGATGCCGAATCTACTTGAGTATTTACACACTCAATGAGGAGTGTTATAAACTTCTTATTTAAGTGTGATTGTATAAATCCTAGATTAGATTTTATTCTAGTTATTCTTCCCTATTAGGACTTGTATTCCTTAGAGGAGAAGGATTTCTTCTCTCTCTTATTACTATAAATAAAGGCACTGCGTAAGGAGAATGACACATCCTCTATACAACCCTACAAACACATCTCTCTCTATAGTTTCTCTGTGCCACCGGCCCCCTCTCTCTGTTAGTTAAATATAGGCCACAACAATCATTATTCATGATAATTGACTTGAAATATCTCACTTACAAATAAAAAATAATTGTCGATATTCAAAGTGGCAAATTTGTTATGCTCATCAATACCTCCCTTGACTTAGGGACCGAATTAAGCCTGTTGCCCCAACACGAAGGAAAATGAGTATATTGTCCATGTATTTACGATATATGCTAAATCATATCCCTCTAGCAATTCTTGCATTTTTGCACGAGGAAGCAGGACCATCAAACATGCACTCCGATTGATGCTTAATTTTTTTTTTTTAAATAAACGATATTATTTATACTAAAAAAGAGGAGGTAGGCTCAGCCTCATAATGAGCTAGCAATAATATGGTTCAAAATCGCATTTGGCAAGAATCGACCCTAAGACCTCTCACTTACAAGTGAAGAGAAATACCACTAAACCATAATATTAAGTGGTCGATTGATGCTTAATTAGACAAACGGTTTGAATAGGGTATTTGGTGTTAGAGTCTATTTATATTGTTAAATGTGTATTTTATTTTTTATTTTTTTTAGAACAAATTATATTATCAAACATTAGGAGAATAGGAGAGTGGACTAAGCCTCGTAATAATATAATTCGAATTCTTTTTTAAAAAAAATTGAATCTAAAATCTCTTATTTATCAGTAAAGAAAAACATTGCTAAATCATAATACAAAATGAGTACTGTCTGACAATCTAACGCCGAAGTTTCTTGTCGACAACAATACATGACTAAAGTTAAGCAAATGGCAAAAGGGGGCTTTAGACCAATGATCGGCCATGATGTCATTCTACTTTCACAGTCAAACTATCAGAGCCGTCGCTCTAGACTTGAATCCGTAGGACCCGATACTTGAAACGACCCACAATCAGTCAACAAAGCCAGTTTTGGGGACCATTTTCCTTGGTGAGGGGAAGCTTTCGCAACTTAGTTTCTTAGTAGACTGGGATTTGAATTAGAGTAAACAGATCAATCCAAATCCAATCAAATTATAAGTCAAGCAAATACATATGTACTTTTTTTTTGGAAACTACATATACACTTTCTTAATACGAATTAAAACTTAAGTAGAGGTAGATGGAAGTGAAGATGTTATAAACAATATTTTAGAGATTTTTGTCATGTTAAATAACAAATATTAGTCAGCTGTACCTTGATTTATTTTATTGATCGCGCCAAATTACTCGTCGTTGCCAAAACCATTAGTTGTTTATGTTCACATGTTTCATTTTCTTTAAACGTGACAATTTACATGACAAAAGTATTGTAATTTACAAGAATATATATGGTTTAATATAAAGAACAAGTGAGAAGCAATACCAAACAAATACTTTTTTTTTTCTTCATAAATATTCCTGATACAAGTTTTTGAGGATGATATTTTTGATATATGTGACTGACTTCCTTGATGAGTTCAGGAAAATTTTATTCGACACATTTGTTTTATTTCTACACTCAACTTTCTTTTTTTTTTTTTTTTTGAACAAAATTTCAGCACTCAACTTAAAATTTCTTAATGGAATTCCAACTTTGTCATTAAATAAATAAAAAGAATTTAAAAGAATTAGAATTTGTAGGATGGCCATAGCCACCATCAAGGAAAACAGAGGGGAAATGAGGCTTTCACCACTGCACCTCTCTATTTTTGTTCCAACAAACTCAATCAAAACTCAACCCCAACGACCATTGTGGCCGGTGTGAAGTGGGGTTGACGGGAGCATAGTGCGGAGCCATGCTCGACACTGAAGTACGAGAAGAGAGAGGAAGAGAAAGAGAAGAAAATAATGGATGTAGATAATAGTCCTTGACGAACTCACAGAAAAATTCTGCCAATGTTTTGTTTGGGTTCGTTGGAATTATATGAGAGCTGCAGTGGTGAATTGGGTTCGGGGTTATTGCGTTTAGAGATAGAAACACGTCTCTATTTTCTTTTTCTTTTTTATTTATTTTGGGGCAAATTAAAAAGTTTAGTGGAAAAAATTATTTAGTTAGGTGTAAATATAAAACAAATAAGTTCAAATAAAGTTTCGCATTAGTTTATTATTCGTGTTAACATGCAAAAGAATTTCTATACACTTTGCGACACATAATTAACTCTACATTACCATTCCACCCGCAATTACCAAACTTAGGGGTGACTATGTCCTCTCCATTTATGTTTTTGCGGTTCATCATTCAAGTTTAACTTTATATTCTAATTGAATTTGATTTTCGTTAAAAAACTTTTATCATTTTCTAATTAATTTTCTTTTTTAATTTGAATTACATTATTATGACTGAATCGTTAAAAAACTTAGCTCATTCTTTCACTCCTTTAACTTTAACATAGATAATATGGTTTGTTAAAAAAAATATATGAGTGGTCACTTAGTACTATGATCTAGTAGTTTTTCTCTTCACTCGTAAGTAAGAAGTCTTAAATTCAATTCTCGCCAAAGGCGAATATGAACTATATTATTGTTAGCTCATTATGAGGTTTAATATACATTTATCTTTTAATGTAAATAATATCGTTTAAAAAAAAAAAACAAAAAAAAGACGGTAATGAGTCGCCTACTCTAGCTCTAGGGTTAGGATAAGGATATCTCACTAGAATTTGATGCCATCGTTAGTCAACACATGAACCGTCGCGATGCTGCCACCTCAAGAATTGGCGGCAAAGGTTTGATGATAAACTCATCACTGCTTCCTCGCTTTGTTTGCACGCAAGCTTTTTTCAAGGCTTGGACCCGGCTTGGCTTAATGCTCTCATTACGAGCATATTACTAGCATAATTAGATAACTAATATCTTGCTCTTAACTTGAAGCTACAGTGGCATAGTTATTTGTTCATTTTTTAACGCAAAGCGATATTATTGAACAAAATATTGAACTGCAAACACGTTCATTCTAAAATGATTTCACGTAGAAAAAAAAAAATCTTAAACGTTTGAATTGCAAACAATTTCAATTCTAACATAACTTTAATCATAATTCTAACATGATCTCACAAAAAAATAACTACTCTTAAATGTTTGAACTGCAAACAATTTCAACTCTAACATGACTTTAATCATACGTGACAAATACAGAATATAAGGACTTTTGAGGATTTCATTTCAACTATAATTTTTTTCTTTTTTTATTTCAAATATGGCTAATCATTCCAACTGCTTAATATATCACATGTTTAAGGTTAATGAGAGCATTTTAATCATGGAGGTTGACTTTGGTTTAAGAATGTTTGCGATGTAGCATTTCCCTAAAATCATTGACAAAACAAAGTTTTGGGCTTTTGGGCGCATGCTTCCCAAAGAATGAGAATAATTAGAAAAAAAAATTACTTTTAATTAACTAAGTGATTAGTGGAAGAAGCCGTGGGGCTGTCCAGAAGGAACTACAATATATGGCCACTGTCTGATCGTCACTCCCACGCGGACGCACAGACAGACAGACAGACAGAGTTTTCTTTCTCCTTCCTCCTCCATCTTTCACTCTTTGATTTCACACCCATGAAAACATTTCCCAGCTGAAAAACTCGGGCTTTTCCGAATTCTGCGTTAAAATTTCAAAAATCCAATCTCTTTGGGTTTTCTGCTTTGTTTTTTAGTATGGTTTTTCTCACTCTCTCTCCACCCAACATGAAAGTTCGAAGATTGTAATTTTTGGATATTTTCAATGAAAGCTCATATCTGGGTCTGAGAAGATATCCCACCTTTCTGTCTTCTTTTCAGGTTTCTGCAGATTTCTCTGCTGTTTTTATTTTGCCTCTTGACATTCTCAAAGGTAGCAAGTATCAAGGCTCTGAAAACCCCATTTCAGATCCCCACTAACCTTCTGGTTTTCAGTTCCCACAATTCAATCTCAACCAAATTCGACTAACGTCAGTCTCTTTTGGTCTCTAATCAGACTGTCCCAATCTGATATCTGACCCAAAAACTCCGCTTTTGTTTCTATAAACAAAACTCAGATCATCAAGTCTTCCATTTTTCTAGACTTTGGTCGAAAGTAGGAACTTGGGGTCTCAAAAAATGCAGGACCCTGCAACTTTTCAGCCCATGAAACCCCAATTTCCAGAGCAAGAGCAGCTGAAATGTCCGCGCTGCGAGTCCTCCAACACCAAGTTTTGCTACTACAACAACTACAACCTCTCGCAGCCGCGCCACTTCTGCAAGAACTGCAAGCGGTACTGGACCAAAGGCGGCGCTCTGAGAAACATCCCCGTCGGCGGTGGAAGCAGGAAGAACACGAAGAAATCGTCGTCGTCAGCTTCGAAACGCTCCTCATCGTCACTGTCGAGCTCATCAGCAGCAGCAGCTCAAAACCCGGATCCGCAGCCTGACCGGACCAGGGTCTGTGCCCCGAAAGTCGACCAAGACCGCGGGGTGATGGATATCTCAGGGAGCTTCAGCTCACTCCTGGCTTCAAATGGGCAATTTGGATCGCTTCTGGAGGGTCTGAATCCAAATGGGTCGGGTCTGAAACTGATGCAAATGGGTGATTATGGGGAGAACTTGGATGGTGCGGGGAATGGGTTGGATTCGGATCCGGGTCTGGGTTTGGAGGGCCAGGGCAATGGAAATCCGGAGAGCTATGTGGGGTTGCAAAACGGTGATTCTTCAACCTCGAGCTGTTGGAATGGGGGCAATGGGTGGCCTGACCTTGCGATTTATACACCAGGTTCGAGTTTTCAGTAGATATATTAAATAGATGATTATGCTCTTAATCTGCTTTTCTTAATGATAAATTTGCTACTTGTGATGAAAAGTGGAGCTGAATTATGACTCTAAATAGGCTTATTTACTAAGCTAAAAGCAGCTTCCCGAAAGCTTATAATTTTCTGATGTCGTAGAGGGTTTGAGAAAAACATCACAGAGCCATACCATTAGCATTCGAATGTGTAATGGTTTCTATTTTTCACTTTTGTGGGTGTGCGTGTGCGTGTGCGTGTGCGTGTTTTTTTTATTTTATTTTATTTTATTCATATGTATCTGGAGCTTATAGCCTCTAGTATTATTGATTTTGCGGGTTTTTCGCGAGATGGACTCAGATTCTAGTGTGTAACCAAGCACGTAATGAGATAAATTGGAGAGGGAGTTTGTTGTATGCATGTGCTGTGATTGTGTGACGGGGCTTTTTCCAGATTGCCCAAATTGATCAAGGTTGAAGATGATTTGGCTTCTATTGGCTTTCGGTGGTTCTGGCTTTAAGTCGCTTTAATTTGCAACCGCAATATCTCATTAGAAGACATTTGGACGGCTTCCCGCATCATTCTCATTTTTAAGCTAAAATGAGGGTCCTGTTATATAACTAAATAGGAAGCTTTTAAGACTTACTCCAACTCTTGAGTAAGTCTTAAAAGCACAGATTTTAAGTTTTAAATTAATTGCGAGTTCTCTTATCCTTGAGCCAATTCTGGGTTTTGACACGAAACTCATTTTTAGGGCAAATTTAGGTTAGAATTTTCCCCTGAATTAGTGGGTTGATTCGCTATATATGTGTGTTTTTTTTTGTTTTATATTTATAATTTCATTAACGCAACGGTTATAATCTAATATATCAAATTCAACGGTAAAGAAAAAAATCTAAGAGCATCTCCCAAGGAGATGTCAAAATTGTCACATAGGCATACAACAGTAAAAAATAGCAGCAAACTCTCTTCAAACGAGCCTTCAGATTCTTAGGTGGCGTTGAGTCAGATTTTAAGTTTTAAATTAATTGCAATTTCTCTAATCCTAAGCCAAATGTGGGTTTTGACACAAAACTCATTTTTAGGGCAAATTTAGATTAGAATTTTCCCTTGAATTAGTGGGTCGATCCCCTATATATGTATATTTTTTTTGTTTTATATTTATAATTTCATTTACGCAACGGTTAAAATCTAATATATCAAATTCAACGGTAAAGAAAAAGGTCTAACATGGAAAAATAATTATAAAAAAAAATCTCTGTGTTTCTTATTCTTTTAGTGTTTGTAGAATTTTTTGGTGTCGGTTTAGTGAATTTTAATTTATCGAACTCGAAATATTATTAAGTAAAATGTGCATAAAATTAAATTAAGCTTGTCTGCATAATTTTTTTTTAAATATAAATTACTTTAAGAAAAATTATTCTAAATTCATTCTTTAATAATCGCGGGCTAAATATTTAATCAATAAGGGTCGGAGCAAAAAAATTGTTCTTGATTAAAACCTAAATTTTTTAGGTTAAAAATTTTAGATTTTAACCCAAAGGTTGAAGATGGTCTAAGGAAGGGAATCTTTTTATTTATTTATTTATTTATTAAAATGGGATTAGTTATGGTGCCTACACCACAACGTATTTTAACAATTTGAATCTTCTATTTTCAAGTTGCACCTTATAGATTATTCTAGCGAAATATTAGACAAATCGGAAATATTTGATGCATCTAATTAAGTTCAAAGAAATTGATGAATACTTTGTGCTCTATAAGACCATCTCCAATGGTTGGGCTAAAAGCCAAATATTTTAGCCCGGAAAATTTAGTTTTTAGCCTAGAAACAGTTTTTCTGCTCCAACCGTTCTAGCCTAAAATTTTAGTCCGGAATCATTAAAGAATGAAGTTAGGCTATTTTTTCGTTAAATTAATTTTATGAACATTTTAATCTAAAAAAATTTAAATTCCGATAAATATTGAGTGGAGTCCACTCCGATTTCGGGGCTAAATTTTAGGGTGAATTTGGCCTTAGTTTAGCATTTAGCATTTAGCCCAAATTTTCCCCTTGGGTTGGAGTGGGTTTGGGGGGTAATTTGGCTTTTAGCCCAGCATTGGAGTTGGTCTAAGACATTGAAATTTAATCGTGATAATCTATAAATCTATAAATCGAGACTCACAAAATAGACGGTCGGTTCAGATTGTTGAAGTTCGATGTGGAGTGTCTCACAACTAATTCCTATTTTTTGAAATAGATGGAAATCCCTTTCCTTAATGGGCATATAAACAGGCAGAGAATAATATGTATAAGGATAAATAACACTATAATTATGAATTGGAATAAACAAAAATGAAGTAAAGGATAAGTAAGGAATCCAATTAACAACGTCTAATCTTGTTTTAATTTTTTTTATTAAATTTATAAACAGGCAGAGAATATACATATAAAGATAATAATAAAAAATCACTATAATTATGAATTGGAATGACAAAGATGAAGGATAAGTAAAAATCGCAATTAAAGATGATAAAAATAAAACAAACTCACATTAATTTATTGATCATCAAGGTTACAAGGAAGCACTCTAAAGTTTGGATACAAGGACAACACTAAAAAAGAAAGCACTCATGAGAGTAATTTACAAAATGAAATTCTTAAGCGTACACACATCTGAGCTAGATAGCTCTTTAAATAGAAAATCAAAAGCAAACTTAAGGACCAAGTGTCGCATAGGCAAAGGAGCAACATAAAGCAACCTATAACATTGGGCGGCATCTTCATTTTTTGAAATGGCACTGACTCAGCTTCATGTGGTTTCACAGAAAGATTCTTGAAAAAGTAGCACACCGGCAAACAGCTACGAGTACACGGGACAATTATTTGGGGAAAGAATAATTGTTGGCATCTAGATATCAGACAACATCTTTTCTTTTCTTTAACACTTTCTCTTTAATAAGAGAAAAAGCATTTCATGCATTTACTTCTTTGGACAAATTGGAGGACAGATTCCATAGCAGTCATCTTCATTATCATCACCGAAATCTTCATCCATATTGTGCTGGAATGATGCGGCTTTAGACATTATATTTCCTTGTCATCTAATCCGTCGAGTTCAAGAATTTTAAGAACTTTTATCTTTCAAATCTTTTTTTGAGCAAGAATTGTTGGACTTGATCAAAGACTTAAGCTTTTCAGTCTTTGAGGATGATTCAGGGGTTGAGCAAGGTAGTTCAGCTACAACCTGCCTATGAGGCAAGATTCTTCTGGCTTTCAAAAATGTTGGCTTGAGATGATTAAGGTGGAATTTATCCCATCAACGAATAAAAAACATTTCTTTCAAGTTGGTGGACAAAATCCTGAGCACCATCATCATCTGCAAAACCATAATTCCATTTCAGAATCCATGGAAGTTCATAAATTATCATGAAACAAAGAAAAAGCTTCCTCTTTTTAGGATAATCATAATTCTCTTTTCTAAAGTTTTCTAGAAAATAATCAATTATTGATTGAGGCAAGTAATCCATATTAGGACCCCAAACAATAAATCACTGTTCTGAACCAATTTGGTTCCTCTTTCAAGATCTAAGGCGGAATTGGATAAACCAAGTATGGGAATAGCGGATGTTTTGAAAACATAGAATTACATCCCATGTTTTTTGGTAATCTTAGAAATTATAGCATCTAAGGCTCCAAAGAGGTTCTCCTTCATCCTCCCATCCAAAGTTCAAATCCAATTTCGAATGCTCTCCCTTATAATAAAGGCAGGGAGAAGGCCATTGTTAACAACCCTTTCAAGTGGACCATGGAAATTTTTCTAATAAACATAAACAATTCAGACTTATTAATATCTCCAAGACAAGTTGGTAAAAACACCATTGTGATCATATCCGTCATTTTCACAAGCCATGACACTCGTATGAACGACTTCTAATAGAAACAGAATCAATTGATATTGTCACAAATATAGAAGTGAAACAAACAATATGATTGCATTCTCAAAAATTACGATACTAAAAGTTATTTCTCTGGAAGAATGAGGCAAATAGCCCCTACAACATGCGATTACACTATAGCCCTGTTATGAGGCCTAGAGGCTCTAATTTTTGGGATTACCAAAAAGTATGGGATATAGTTCCATGTTTTAAGATATCCGTTATTCCTATACTTGGTTTCTCCAATTCCCTCTTAGATTTCTAAAAGAGGTTCTAAATTGGTTCAGAACGTGGTTTATTGTTTGGGGTCCTAATATGGATTACTTGCCTTAACCAATAATTGATTCTTTTGTAAAAAAACTTTAGAAAAGAGAATTTTGATTATCTTGAAAAGATGAAGCTTTTTCTTTGGTTCATGATAATTTATGAACTTCCGTGGATTCTAAAATGGGATTATGGTTTCGTAGAAGATGATTATGGTGCTTAGGAATTTGTCCCCCAACTTGAAAGAAATGTTTTTATTTGCTAGTGGGATAATGTCCACCTTGATCATTTCAAGCCAACATCTTTTAAAGCCAGAAGAATCTTGTCTCATAGGTAGGTTGTAGCCGAACTACCCTGCTCAACTACCGAATCATCTTCAAAGTCTGAAAAGCATAAGTCTTTGATCGAGTCCTAGCTCTTCTTGCTCCAAGAAATATCTTAAAGGTAAAGTTCTTAAAATTCTTGAACTCGACAAATTAAATGACGAAGAAATGGAATCTGAAGCCGAATCATCCCATCACAATAGGGATGAAGTTTTCAATGATGAAAATGAAGATAGCTGCTATGGAATTTGTCCTCCAATCCATCCAAAGAAGTAAAGCATGAAATGATTTTTCTTTGATTAAAGAGAAAGTGTGAAAGAAAAGAAAAGATGTCTGATATCCAGACGCCAACAATTATTATTTTCCTGCATAATTGTCCTTTGTTCTCGTAGCTATTTGTCGATGTGCTTCTATTTTAAGAATCTTTCTGTGAAACCACGTGAAGCTAAGTCAATGCCATTTCATAAAGTGAAGATGCCTCCCAATGTTGTAGGCTGCTTTATGTTGTTCCTCTGCCTGTGTGACGCCTGGTCCTTCAGTTTGCTTTTGATTTTTATTTAAAGAGCTATCTAGCTCAAATGTGTGTACGCTTAAGAATTTCACTTTGCGTTTTCTTTTTCAGTGCTACTCTTGTATCCAAACTTTGGAGTGCTTCCCTGTAACCTTGAAGATCAATAAATTAAGGTGAGTTTGCTTTATTCTTCTTTACTTCATGCCTATTTTATCATCTTTAATTGCAATCTTTACTTATCCTTTACTTCATCTTTGTTTATTCCAATTCATAATTATAGTGTTTTTATCTTTATACATATATTCTCTGTCTGTTTATAGATTTAATACAAAATTAAAGCAAGATAAGATGTTTTTAATTAATTTAACGTCTATAGGGCCATATTTGGTCTTGCTCATACGAGCTTGATTCAGGTGTTGTTTTTCTGAAAGAATTCATTCCGAAAAGGTTAGGCCTAAGGGAGTCGACACTCGTTCGGGGACATAAACATAACAAGTGGCCAATTTATTTTTATTGTTACCCGAACTTTTCAGTGTCATTATTCGACCCCAGAATTTTGATGATTCGATATTTTGTTTGTCCATCAATGTTCCATTCAACAATTGATCGTCCATCATAATGCACCTTTTCACCCATATCATTATCCTCAAACTGAAGATCCACTTGAGTTGGGATCCACTTGAGTTGGCCTAGGATAATAATTTTTTAAAATGGGTGTTCTTGTGACTCGGTGTCCTTATTTTATCCTATTGACTTGTGGGTCTAAGGTTGACTCGGCAAATTGCTCTTCCAAATCAACAATTTATGTCTCTGTAATGATTGAGATGCTTAACTCAGTTAACTTCATTGAGCTCAATCGTTTTGCCAAAGCATCAACAAAATTGTCATCTTTTAGGGGTTTTCTTATCTTATATATAATATATATATATATATATATATTTACAAAGTGAAAATGAAACGTACAAACAACTGAGCTAAGAAGCCTTATAAATAGAAAACTAAAAGCAAACTGAAAGACCAGGTGTCACAAAAGCTGAGGGGCACTATAATGCAACCTTGCACATTTGGCGGCATCTTCACTTTATGAAGTGGATCTGACTCAGCTTCAGGAGGTAGAACAGAAAGATTTTGAAAATGCAGCACACCGACAAAAATCTACAGGAATCAAAGACAATTATTCAATTGTTAACGTCTAGATATTAGACAGCGTCTTAACTTTTCTTTATCATTCTCTTTTATCAGATAACCACTTTCACTTTTATCAAGGAAAAGCATTTCATACTTTATTTCTTTGGACGGATAGGAGGATAGATTCCAAAACAGTCGTCTTCATTGTCATTTCCGAAGTCTTCATCCATGTGATTCTAGGACGCGACTTCTGACTCTATATTCTCATCATCTAAGCCGTTGAGTTCAAGAATTTTCAAAACCTTTTCCTCCAGATCTTTTTTAGAACAAGAAAGGTTGGATTTGATTAAAGACTTAGGTTTTTCAGTCTTTTTAGATGAATTAGGGATAGAACAAGGTAATTCAACTACAGACTGCCTATCAGGCAGGATTTTCCAGGCTTTGAAAGATGATGGCTTTAAATGATTGGAATTTATCCCACCAGTGAATAAATATTTTTCTTTCAAGCTAAGGAACAAAATCCTAAGCATTTTCATCATCGTCGACAAAATCATAATGCTATTTCAGGATCTAAGGAAGTTCATATATCATCATGAACCATAGAAAGTGTTTCCTTTGTTCAGGATAATCAGAGTTTTCTTTTATAAAATTATCTAGACAAGAATGAATAATTGTCTGAGGCAAGTAATCAACATTAGAACCTCAAACAATCAACCAAGTTTAAAACCAATTTGGGACTTTTTCAGAGATTCGAGACAGAACTAGATAAACCAAGTGTGAGAGTAGTGAATGTTTTGGAAACATAAAACTATGTTTCACGCCTTTTGGTAATCCTAAAAGTTGTAGGCTTTATGACTCATATGAGGACTAGAGTGCAAGCGAATGTAGTTGGGGTTATTTCCCCATTCTTTCAATGAGATGGCTTTTAATATCTGAATTTTGGAGAAAGTAATCATGTTGTTTGATTCACTTCTATATCTATGAACAATATCTAATTCAGATTCAATCAGAATTCTCTCATACCAATATCTTGACTTATAAAAAAGACAAATGTGGTCACGATGGTTCATCAACTTGCGTAGGAGATAAAGATAAATATGAATCCTCTATGTCTGTTAGAGCAATGGCTTTTCCTTGCCTTTGTTATAAGGAAGAGTAGTTGAAATTAGGGTTTGGATTTGCTTGGGAGGGAAAAGAAGAACACTTCTGAATAAGGGTGGAACTACTTCTAAAGAGAGCTAGGGCTTGCTCATTATTCTTCATGTTTGCCCTGTTAAAATTCATGCGTTAAAAAGTTAGGCAATGATTTTGATTCATCCTTAATATATTCAATATCAAAATCAAATGATGACAAGATTCCTTGTTATCTAGCAAATATTTGTTTTGATGCTAAGTTTTTAAAATCTTTCAACAAAATATCCTTGGCAACCTTACAATCCACCTTAATCAAGAAACGCTTGTTAAGAAGATGACTTTCAAATATTATGGTTGCATGAATGATCGATAAAAGTTTCTTCTTAACAGTAGAATAGTTATTTCTAAGTTGGCTTCCAAACTCGAGAAGTTAAAATGAACTAAGGATTATTTGCCATATTAGGGTCCTTTGCTTCAGGACTCCTCTATAACCTTCGTCAAAACCATTAGTTTCAACAACCTTGAAAGCTTATGGATTTGCTAAAACTGGATACAATAGTTCTTTGACTTCTTTTTTTTTTTAAAAGTCTTACCACTCGAGTTTGTTGGTCAAGTGCATTTTGCAGGCATTGAGAAGTTTTTGAGAAGTATTTGGTAGGCACAACTCCTTCATTTATATACATTAGGTCTGCTCCAAAATTAATGAGTGTTTATATTGAAAACCTAAAAGTCTTGTTAACAACAAAAGTAATCATAGAATACCATTTTTGAAAAATTACCTTGTCGATGCTGCTACATATTTCAAATTTTGGGATGTTATTGTTTGGATCGGTTGGTTTCAAGACTGGTTGATACTCTGGAGGCTTATTCTTCTTCCTTTCTACAAGGTCATCTATCAGATGTTGAAACTCGCTTTCAGTTTCAGTTTTATTGTCTTGACTCCGAACGTAAAGGCCAAACATCATCTAAAAAACCTTTTAGGAAAACCACGAGATTTCACAAAAAATATTCCACATAGATCCTCAAAACCTTATAGGACATTTCGCAAATGAAAAATCCATCCTAGTAAACAAGAAGGAGGGAAGAAATGATCGGATCAAAAACCCCTTGTTTGCTATAAGTGTGGAAAGTTGGACATATGAGACCTCAATGTCAGATGAAAGAAAAGATTAATGACCTAAATCTCGATGAAGGTCTAAAGAGACAATCGTGCCAGTTAATGCTAAAATCTTCTGATTCTGAAGAAAACAAAAATAAAGTTGCAGTCCTTAAAGATAAACTGTTTACATTAGAAACTTGAGCAGTAAGACTTTTGAAAAAAAAAGTCAAAGAACTAATGTGTCTAGCTTTAGCAAATCCAGAAGCTTTCAAGATTGTAGAAATTGATGCTTTTGATGAAGACTATAAAGGAGTCATGAAGCAAATGACCTAATACGGCAAGAGATCCTTAGTTCGTTTTACTTATGGAGTCTAGAAGTAAGCTTAGAAAAACTATTATACTATTCAGAAAGAATTTTTATTGATATTTCATGCAATCACAAAATTTGAAAGTGATCGTCTTATCAAGCGTTTCCTGATTAATGTGGATTGTAAGGCCCCAAGGATATTTTGTTGAAAGATGTTAAAAACTTAGTATCAAAACAAATATTTGATAGATGGCAAACAATCTTGTCAGCATTTGATTTTGATATTAAATATATTAAGGGTGAATCAAACTCTTTGCCTGACTTTTTAGCGTGTAATTTTTGCAAGGCAAACGTGAAAAAGAAGGACCAGGCCTTAGCTCTCTCTAGAAGTTACGCCTCTAAAGGGTTCTTCTTCTTCCTCTAAGGCAAATCCAAACCTATTTCAACTACTTTCCTTTATAACAAAGGCAGGGAGAAAGCCATTCTGACAATTCTTTCACCTAGTCAATGGCAATTCCTCTGATGAATAAAGAGGATTCAGATTTATCTTTATCTCCTAGGCAAGTTGGTGAAAAATATCATCATGACCACATTCATCCTTTTATAAGCCAAGATATTGGTATGAGAGAATTCTTATTGAATCTGAATTAGTTGATATTGTTCATAGATACATAAGTGAATTTAACAACATGATTGCTTTCTCCAAAATTCAGATATTGAAAATCATCTCCTTGGAAAAATGGGAAAATATATCCTACCACATTCAACAACACTCTAACCTTGATATGAGTCCTAGAGGCTACAATTTTTTGGATTACCAAAAGACGTGGGACATCGTTCTATGTTTCCAAAACATTCGTTACTCTCACACTTGGTATATCCAGTTCCGCCTTAGATCTCTGAAAGAGATCACAAATTGGTTTCGAACTTGGTTTATTATTTGGGTATCTAATGTCGATTATTTGCCTCAGACAAATGAAAGTTTTTCTACGGTTCATGATAATATATCAACTTCCTTGGATCCTGAAATGGGATTGTAATTTTGTCGACGATGATGAAAATGCTTGGGATTTTGTTTCACAGCTTGAAAGAAAAATATTTATTCGTTGGTGGGATAAATTTCATCTTGATCATTTAAAGCCATCATCTTTCAAAGCCTAAAGAAAAGGTTTTGAAAATTCTTGAACTCAATGGCTTAGATGCTGAGGATATGGAGTCAGAAGCCGCGTCATCCCATCATCACATGGATGAAGACTTCGAAGGTGACAACAAAGGAGGCTCTTTTGGAATCTATCATCTTATTCGTCCAAAGAAATAAAGCATGAAATGCTTTTCTCTGATTAAGTGATTCTCTGATAAAAGAGAAAGTGATAAAGAAAAGTTAAGATGTTGTCTGATATCTAAACCTCAACAATTATTCTTTTCTTGAATAGTTGTCCTTGGTTCTTGTAGATTTTTGTCGGTGTGCTTCTTTTTCAGAATCTTTATGTTCAACCTCGTGAAGC